AACTCTCAAGCAAAACTCCCTACAGCAACGAAGCATGAAAAATTGGCAGGCAATAAAATAAAGAGAAAGAAGGATTTTAGAGAAACTCTAAAGCAAAGCTCCCTACAGCAACGTAACAAAAAAAATTGACAGGCAATAAAATAAAGAGAAAAAAGGATTTTAGAGAAACTCTAAAGCAAAACTCCCTACAGCAACGAAGAATGAAAAATTGGCAGGCAGTAAAATAAAGATAAAGAAGGATTTTAGAGAAACTCTAGAGCAAAGCTCTCTTCAGCAACGTAACAAAAAAAATTGACAGGCAGTAAAATAAAGAGAAAAAAGGATTTTAGAGAAACTCCAAAGCAAAGCTCCCTACAGGAACGTAACAGTAAAAATTGACAGGCAATGAAATAAAGAGAACGAAGGATTTTAGAGAAATTTCAAAGCAAAACTCCTTATAGGAACATAGCAATAAAAATTGACAGGCAGTAAAATAACGAGAAAGAAGGATTTTAGAGAAACTCTAAAGCAAAGCTCCCTACAGGAACGTAGCAATAAGAATGAACAGGCAGTAAAATAAAGAGAACGAAGGATTTTAGAGAAACTCTAACGAAAATCTCCCTATAGCAACGTAGCAATAAAATTGACAGGCAATAAAAGAACAACGAAGGACTTTAGAGAACCTCGAAAAGAACGTTTCCTACAGCAACGTAGCAATAATAATTTACAGGCTTAAAATAAAAACAACGAAGGATCTTAGGGAAACTTTAAAGCAAAGCTCCCTACAGGAACATAGTAATAAAAATTGACATACAGTCAAAAAAAGAGAACGAAGGATTTTAGAGAAACTCTAAAGCAAAGCTCCGTACAGGAACGTAGCTTGAAAAATTGTCAGGCAGTAAAATAAAGAGAACGAAGGATTTTAGAGAAACTCTAACGGAAAGCTCCCTACAGCAACGTAGCAATAAATTTGACAGGCAATAAAACAAAAACAACAAAGGCTTTTAGGGAAACACTAACGCAAAGCTCTCTACAGCAACTTGGCAATAAAAATTGACATGTTGGCTTTTGAGAAACTCAAAAGTAGAGTAAGTTATAGTAAGTGATAAACGAAAGTTAATACGCAAGGAAATAAAAATAAAAGTGGTTTTTAGAGAAGCTTTTCAAAAGAGCTACCAGCAGTAAGTTAGAAAGAGAAATTCATGCGGAAGGAAACAAAAATATAGAAGGTTTTTAGAGAATTATTTTTACAAAGCTAACAACAGTGAGAAACTTTTCATCAAAAGTAACGTATAGTAAGTCATGAATAGAATTTAATTCTCAAGGAAAAAATACATTTTGAAATATAATGGTAATTTGAAAAAAAAAAATTTCCTTAGAAAGTATAAGGTTGACACTTCAGAATTAAAGGTCTGCACTTCAGAATAAAAGCACAAGGATCCATGCAATTTAAGTTTGTAAGTTTGGAATTTGAAGGAAAGGGAACCGACATACCTGCAAAAGTCATACAAGTTCTTATGAAGGTTTTAGTCCAGATCCCATTCATATCCAATTTCTAGGTGTTCAAAGCATCAACTGGCTATATTGATGAACTTTGAAGAGGAATTTGTCAGCCCTAGGATTTAAACAAAAAATAACATTGTAAGTAGTTGAAAAAATATTTCAATAAAGTTTAAGAAAATGAAAGTTTCTGGAATTTTGTCCAAAAGAACAGAGTCCAGAGCTAAAAGCAAGAGCTAAAAAACCGAAGAAAACCAACCAAACTGTTTATGATTAAAAGAGATCTGGAGAACGTTATCGAGAAAGTCTGAAATTAAAAAGTCGTTTCAATCAAAGTATCGAAATCATAGATGGCTTTTTGATTGTTAACATTTTTTCAACGTTCTAAAAAAGCAACAAAATTTTGTTTTCAAAACTGAATTGCCAAAAAATTGACATTGGTTTTCCTAATGAAGGGTAGTATCGTTGCTAAGAGGATATCTTCAAAAGTAGCATCAGTGAAGGTAATGTCACAGTAGTTAAAAGTAATATATAATGATTTACATTGGACTTTGATTGGCATCACATTGCAGGCTTAGTTTGCAAGAATTTGGATAAATTAAACAAGTGAGGATATTGTCCTAAATTCTTCCTAAACTTTCAATATTTTAGTCATAGCCTTAAAATCCACAAAACAATATGCAGCTGTGTCCTACATCAAGCTACTTATGAAACAGACCAGAAGTGAGGGAGCCACAATAAGAAATCCACACAGACACGCCCTGTATTAAAGGTTACACCCAAAAATGATGTAAAGAATTAGTTGCTACATTATCTGCAGACGGAAGGAAAGTTTTGTAATGCATTCATTTTTGGGGACAATGCATAAATATTAATAACATTATTTTATGGGAAAAGAATCTTTATTATTGAAATTAAATTAATGGCAATCTCGGCCTAAATATCTATAAAAAAGGAAAATGTTTGTGAGGAATTCAAAACTGTCTACTCTTGATTTGAAATTATATAACAGTAGAAGAAAGTGGTAACTTTGTGGTTTCGTTTGGGGATGTCAGGGACTTTTATCCTGCCAAAAATTATAACTATTTAATGAACATTGATTCAGAGGAACATTTGAATGATGAATGAAGCAAAAAATTAAAAACAATGGGCAGCAAGGGATTGATGAAGGGAGGGGATTCAGGGGCAATATAAAGTCATTATTCTCATTTCGGCTGGAAAAATTCGTTGGACCATTATGCTCTAACGAATCACTGCTGACATAGGCTCTGATATTAAAAGATCAATTTAATCACAGATAATCTGGTTTCCATCTTTGCTATGCTTTAAATAGCAAAATCTTCTCAAGGCTAAGTATACAAAGGAAAATTACAGAACATTTTGGCAAAATACATTAATTTAAAAGATGAATTGATGAAATTTTTCTGGCACAAAAGAAAAGGAGGTTTTCCAAACAGAAAATTAACATTCTTTTAGGAACAGTGACTAAATTCGGAGCATTAATTAAGCAAGATTTAAAATAATATAGAAAATTAAAAATAATATTGATGTCCTTAGATTGCAAAATCTTTTTGAAGACAGCAAGGAATGGTAAGTGTGAATTGAAAAGCATCTGATTTCTTGCAGGAGTGCAAGGAGGGCTGTTTCTATCATCAAGACAGCATTTATTTAATGAAAATTATATTCAACTTTGGTGGAAACAACATATGATACACTGGAAAAAGTCTTATTTGTTGATAGCTCTTTTAGTTTGCTTCACATTTTAAAATACTTTTTAAAATACTTGATTCGAAAGATAGATTACATTAAATGAAAGATACATCAGATTTGAAAGATACATTGAATTATATTTCTTGGCAAAATGCTATATCATAATTAACTACCTGGTTTTTGGTTCCAAAGTTTTCCCATCAAGACAAAACACCACAGAAATCAAAGCAGGATGCAAATATCCATGACTCTACATAAAACAAATTTAGACATGAATTTTTATATCATGTAGATCATCAAAATTTTAGTATATAGTCTTTCACAAACTGGCATTGATTTTTATTAGTTTCAATGCTGTGTTTAAAACTCTTATATCAAAACTTTTAACCATTCTGTTGGGGTCTTGGAGTATTTGCTCAATAATTTCTTGTAATGGTTATTGACCTCTACATTTAAAGGCTGATTCACTTTTACTTTTACATTTACAAATAAAATTTTCATTTACTAAAGTATAATTAGAAATTGTTGTGTTTTTTTCTTAAAAAAGAAAAATTAGATAATGACTTTTGAAATTATCTTACATTGAGCTGCAATCCTTCAGAGCAGATTAAATGCTGGTCAAATGAAATTCTATCAGAGCTTTTTTGATGAGAGATGTTATAGAATTTGAAATCATTAAAAGGGTTCTTATTTTCTTTCAATTTTATTAATCAAATTTAGGTGTAAAGTTATGCTATTAAGCCTTAATTTGCTGTTTTGATGCCTTTGGGAATAATGGTGAAGTTGTAGTTGGGTTTTCTTGGGTGAAAGTTGTTACAGAGAGTGTAAGTAAGTGTTTTGGATAGGGCTTCTTGATTTTTATGTATGCTCTTGCCAGGCTGTTCTCTTCTCCTGTCCCTCTCTCCCCTTCTGGTTTAAAGTAAAGTGTGTTTCTTCAAATCCTCTATAATTTTACCTCATAGGGGTTTGGGCTTATTCACATAACAGGATTCAATTAACAGATTATTATGATTTCATTAAGGGTCGACTTGGTTCTTTAAGTTTTGTTTCTCTTCCCCTCTCATACTTTATGCAACTAAGGTAGGATGGTGCATCAGCTCCCTGGTGGGGATAAGCTGCCTTGTTACTTGAATCAATCAAGTTATATCTAAGGTCTAGGGCAGGCATTCTTAAACCCCTACCTGCGGGTCATCTCTGGCCCACAGCAAAATGTCATCCTGCCCGCCGAATACATTTTACCTCAAAAATATTTTTTGCCAACATTTTCAAAATTTGGAATTCAATTTATCTTTGTTTTTCCTTTGTCCCCTCTGATATATTTTTTTTCTCTTTAATCAATTCTAAATGTGTTCCATAGACAGTTTTTAGTCCAAAAGAGAATAACAAAATAGGAAATGTCTTGTTTCCTTTTTCATATCAACAGATAAAACTATGGAACCTAGTCAAGAAAATGCCTTGAATTTTCTCCCGTTAATATCTATTTGAGGTGTTGTTTCTGGCCATTCCTAGATTAATATAGCCTAAAATTTTTCTTGCCGCCAACCATGGAGGTGGCCTTGACTAAATACATCAACAAACATAAGATTTTGGCCTTTCTTTAAAATAAGCTGTGCAGTCCCTTGACCTGACTTCAGGCACTTCAAATCGACCCAACAAGAGACTAACGACGATGAACGTTCTAGCCTAAAAATAGCATAGAACAATTTCCTGACTCAGTCTGGTACAAGAAACATAAAGTTACAGACCTTTGTAAAAACTATTTTTTGGGTTTATGTGAAGGTAGATAAGATAGGCAGCCACAAAATAAAAGGCCTGTCTATTTTAACACTAACTTAGCATGGTAAAAATGAGATCTGAGTTTCATTTTGAGCAGCCTACACAAGGTATGTAAAAGTTGAAAACCAACTGGCCCCCGAAGAAATTCTATATGTTTTTCTGGCCCGGCATTTAAAATCATTAAGAATCCCTGGTCTAGGGCTTTATATGTGATTATTGATCGATTTTTACCAAGGCACCAACAGCCACATGCGGAAGTGAAGGCTCAACACCTGATTTGTAGAATGGCAAAAATCGATTAAGAACCTAAGATAACAAAGTGATAGATAATAATTCCTAAACTTCCACTAAAAAATAGCCCTTCTTGTTGCTTAAAGCCTATTCAACACTCTACAACACACACAACAAAATGATTCTAAACGCCACAAACAACAGACAAGAACAAACACAAAACATCACCGAGCATAAAAAATAATTTTGAAAAACAAATCTGAGAGATTGCAATCAAGAGCCCTATACGACACAGCGATCAATATTTGCCACTCTCTAGAGAGTGGCAACTTAGGTTGGTGACTTCATGGCATAGCACCCACGAACAAAATCCTATGAAATAATCCCAATTCTCTTTTTCTCTAGTTATTGCATGCAATGTAATTTTAGAACATAACTTACAGAAAAGACGGCGCTAAAAACACCATAGGGCTTGATCAGAAGCTGGCTTAACATCATATGGCGTTTATAAAATAACAGTAGCAACATAGACATACCTTCGGCCTTTAACTGTTCAGCATTACAATATATTTATCTAACATCTTGTCGCATAGTAAATATCAATTTTCTTGGAATAACTATAACACGTGAGCCGCTTATGACGAAAACAACTTTCTTCGAAGCCATGTTTTTAATCACACGAAAGGCGAATAGCATTCTGGGTAGTAAAGCTCCTTCGTCGATACGTGTTGACGAAAAAAGATATCTTTACTGTTTTCAAACAACTGCTTTTTGGCCATATGGAAAATCAGAGGCACTAATTATATTTTAAAGAAAAAGCTAGCTAAAAAGGCAAAGAAAACGACGACATTTATTACGGACGCAAAAATTGACAATACTAAAAAAAATATAGAAGAAGAATCCATGTTGACAAAGAACTGCCTTAAGTTAAATTGTTGGGGAAGAATAAATTTGATGTAGCTGTAACTATCTAGAATTTGTTAGAAAAAGCCAGTGAAAGAAATTTTGATAAAATGAGATATCAAAAGTAGCCAAGGCATAAAAGTTGCGAAGGAATCACTCAAGGATGACGTCAGACCTCGCTCGTCAGACTCATATTTTTCTCTCGCATTCGCTAATACAGATGAAATTTATACATATATAAAGTACGGATTAACTGTATACCATCTACTTAATGGATGAAAAGTCTACCTGCGGGATGTAATTTTTGTAAATCATTACGAGGATCATAAAAACCTGTGTATAATCCACACTTCTTTAATCATTGTAGTTTTTATTTTCTATGGAGTAGCCCCAGCTCAATCCTTTGTTTTCCTTTAAGCAAAATGATCTAGTGAAAGAACAAAGGGAAGACTAGCCCATTGAGCGATGGAAATGTTATCACGGGGTGTTGCAAGGGGCATTCATCTTGTTATTTGGAGAATTTACTTCGAAAATTGGAATTTTTGGCATTTGAAAAAAGGAAAGAAAAATAACTAATATTCAAAAACAAATTTCTTTCACTGCCTTGAAAATAAAACTGGTTTCGCGGATCTAGAAAAAATCTGGAAAATATAACGTTCGGCTTATCGATAAATTAGAAACACTGGGCTTGTTTTCCGTTTATTTTGCCTACAAATCTTATTTTCTCGATTAATTACATACTTCTCCACGGGTATTATCTAAAGCTGATACTAAGTATACTCGGTGAAGGTTATAAGCAGGTTTTGAGATTTACATTTAAAATTGTAAAATAACCAACTTTAATGTTTTATAGAATTAAATCGAAAGTAAATAGCTAATAATAATATACATAATTCTACGAGCTGTTGTCTTGCTCTGCATTGCTTTCCGAATAATTCAGTGCTATTTCGTATACCTTATCGTAGTTACTAACAAGATGCTTTTCTAAGTTTTGTTTTATGAAATTTTGCAAGTCGTCATAGTCTTTTTTGTTGCCTTCTGGTAAAATGACTGTTGATATATTTGCACGTTTTGCCTGAAAGGAAAAAAATTATCAAGGTTCATAATTAATGAGTCATTGTGTTTAAATGTTGTGTGATCAAAAAATTTGTTTGTCTATAAGGATATTAAGCATAAAGAAAGGGAGGCCTGTGAAATTCTATGGAATAGAACCAGATGTTATTTGGAAATCATGAAAGGGTGCTCTCTTGTCTGTATGCATGGATCAACAGCAACATTATATTTTGCTAGCTATTTATGAGTGAAATATTTACCATTTGGGAAACTAATATGTTGATATATTGAATAACTTCGTGAAAAGAAAATGTCAAATAAGAGTTTATTATCTTTCTGGTAGAATAATTGATAAATAAAATGTCATACAAGAAGGATATTTCCAAATGTTCTTTCATCATTGTTTTATAACATTATTTGATGTAGCACTACAGCCTTTCTGTGAAACAATCATTTCGCTATATTTATAAATTTCATTTCCAAAATGGCTTTGAAAAAGACAAACTTTTGAAACATGTTTCTGAAGCTTTTCGTCTGACACTCTTCAGAGTATACAACGTCAGAACATAAATCGAAAACTATCTTATTTTATTTTCATTTTTAGTTTTTATGCCAATAACTTCCAGTGAAATGTAAGCTAGTACTCTAACTATTGAAGAAGTAAGTTTGTTAGTGGCTTATTGTACCCAACGAAAAGAGTGCGTTTGGAGCAGAATTTAAATGTGTTGTGCTCTTCTAACAAGATTGGGAATAAAACTAAGAAAGAACAATAATTTTCTCTAATCGTAGTGAATGCTTTTAGAGTTTCGATGATCAGTTCATTAAACCTCTGGCTTCTCTAGAGCACGTGTGTCTCTAAAACTCAGACTGTGGAAAAACTACAATAGTTGAGATCCAACAAAACTCAAGTCAAACACCTCTTTATGGTTCTAAACCTCCCTTACTAGATCGATTAATGTTTACTTTAGGAGTGGGGTAAACGATCTGTCGAAATTGTGACAGGGTATAATGAACTTATAAGACGACAATGCACTTAATCAGCCATATATTCAACAATATATTTGCACTCACGCACAACAGCTAATATTTCTATTTTGTTTACATTCGCTTTGTAGCCTGGCTTGTCTATTTGCTATGTTTTAGCTAATCCCCTTTATTGAGCTGTTGTATTAAAGTTGTGTAATAGTTTAAATGTTAATTCGTGTTTTGGACAATTATAAACAATCTGTCCTAACTTTTTGCATCTGCAAACATTGAGGTGAGAAATTGTATATATTGTACATCAAATATATATATATATATATCTAAAATATTTATAATCTAAAACAAATCATTAGTAAAAGAACCAACAACGCTCTTACTAAACCAGTATATCGTTCCAAGAGTTGAAATCATATGTTCTAAAGAGAAAGAAGCCCCCCTCCTTATCTAAGAGAAGATATGGTGAAGGGACTCTATAGCCTCGCCAAAACAAGAATTTGTAGAGATGTAGTCTTCCAAGATTAGTGTTTTAACATCTTCCTTAAAAACATTTAAAAATTGGTACCTTTCCGATAGTGACAAAACTTTCATTCATTATTTGGATAGTTGTGTAATTGGAATGTGAATTCAACAGCTACAATTTATCTAGACTCTTGTAACCACAGAAAAACTCAATTTTTTAAAAATTTATCATTATCTTATATTTCTGTCACATAAATGAGTTACTAGGTATTAATTTTATAGATTCTAGTATAAAGATAAGTAGATGTTAATTTTGGTACTCGTCAAATATTTTTCATACCTGTTTAGTAGGTCAAAAAGTACGCAGTTTCTTTGAATGAAAAACTTTTTGACCCACAAGCTTGAACTTTAATGATATTGTCTAATGCCATCGTTAAATGCAATCGATCGCTACAAATTAGAAAGATTTCTAACGTATTTCAATTTTGACATATCTTTTTGTCAGTTTCAATTCTCAACCTCAAGGCAAGATATGCTGTTGTCAGACATCTGCCTTTTGAAATTTCTTTCAATGTATGCGGTAGCTGGGTCTCTTTCAAATCTTTACTAAGACCGAAAATCTTATACTGATTTTCAAGATTTGATAAGGAGTTTCAAGACAAAATAATCAAGGATTAATTCAACGAAAAGAGGACAGGGGGAGAACAACAAATAATGCTCTAAAGTATTAAAGAGAAACAAAAATAAAAAGATTTAATGGATTGAAAGAAGGAGATTCAAGTGAGTATTATCAAGGATTAATTTAACGAAAAGAGGACAGGGGCAGAACAACAAATAATGCTCTAAAGTATTGAAGAGAAAAAAAGGAAAAAAAAGATTTAATGGATTAAAAGAAGGAGTTTTAAGTGAGGATTATCAAGGATTAATTTAACGAAAAGAGGACGGGGGCAGAACAAATAAATAATGCTCTAAAGTATTAAGGAGAAAAAAAGAAAAATAAAAAGATTTAATGGATTGAAAGAAGGAGTTTTAAGTGAGGATTATCAAGGATTAATTTAACGAAAAGAGGACGGGGGCAGAACAACAGATAATGCTCTAAAGTATTAAAAAGAAAAAAAGAAAAATAAAAAGATTGAATGGATTTAAAGAAGGAGTTTTAAGTGAGGATTATCAAGGATTAATTTAACAAAAAGAGGACGGGGGCAGAATAACAAAAAATGCTCAAAAGTATTAAAGAGAAAAAAAGAAAAATAAAAAGATTTAATGGATTGAAAGAAGGAGTTTTAAGTGAGGATTATCAAGGATTAATTTAACGAAAAGAGGACGGGGGCAGAACAAATAAATAATGCTCTAAAGTATTAAAAAGGGAAAAAAAGAAAAATAAAAAGATTTAATGGATTGAAAGAAGGAGTTTTAAGTGAGGATTATCAAGGATTAATTTAACGAAAAGAGGACGGGGGCAGAACAACAGATAATGCTCTAAAGTATTGAAGAGAAAAAAAGAAAAATAAAAAGATTGAATGGATTTAAAGAAGGAGTTTTAAGTGAGGATTATCAAGGATTAATTTAACAAAAAGAGGACGGGGGCAGAATAACAAAAAATGCTCAAAAGTATTAAAGAGAAAAAAAGAAAAATAAAAAGATTTAATGGATTGAAAGAAGGAGTTTTAAGTGAGGATTATCAAGGATTAATTTAACGAAAAGAGGAAGGGGGCAGAACAACAAATAATGCTCTAAAGTATTGAAGAGAAAAAAAGAAAAATAAAAAGATTTAATGGATTGAAAGAAGGAGTTTTAAGTGAGGATTATCAAGGATTAATTTAACGAAAAGAGGACAGGGGCAGAACAACAAATAATGCTCTAAAGTATCAAAGAGAAAAAAAGAAAAAAAAAAGATTTAATGGATTTAAAGAAGGAGTTTCAAGTGAGGATTATCAAGGATTAATTTAACGAAAAGAGGACGGGGGCAGCACAACAAATAATGCTCTAAAGTATCAAAGAGAAAAAAAGAAAATTAAAAAGATTGAATGGATTT